CCCAGCATACACAAAGAGTGAGAAGAAGTCTACCACCAGGCTGCATTATCCACTGGAATCCTTGTCTGGCAGGGAGATAGAACCTGCAATACCTCTTCCGGTTTAACACTTTGAACAGTGCTTCAAATATATCACAGCTTCATCATGTTGGGAGGAAAGCCTGAAGGGATGCTGGTCCGAGACGTTACCACTTCGATGAAACCGTGAGCATGGGTGCTGACATGTTGATGATAACAATCTGACAGAAAAATACTTCCTAAGGCAAGAGAGTTAACTTTAAAAGTTCGGTTTCCATCCTTGCCGAACAAGGCTGGAATTCCTGGGCTCAATCGTAGCGCCACCAGTGGCTTTTTCTAGTTATGTCCCTTCTATGCCTCTCCTATGGACCAATCAGATTCCACCTCTCATTTGCTTCAAACAAAATGGTGACGACCAGTCAAGATGATCTGATCAATAATCTAGATCTATACTGTGATAAAACGGGTCTTACATCGTGAAGTGCATCAAATCATGTGAGCACCTTGATTAGAAAAAAGAAAAGATTTGTAAAATATCTGTTAACAACAAGTTGGCGGAAAACATGCTTTGCAAATCCTGCAATTGACCGAAATCTGCATGACCGTTTACGAACCTGATTTTGATTTCATTGCAGGATTTTGATTGGACTATGCATAGACTCCATCAGTCCAGCCAAAATCTAACTCCATGATACCAGCCTAGTTCAGCAAGGGTGGAAACTGGACTTATATAGTCAGTAACTCTCTTGCCTCGGGAAGATGCTATACACAAGGTCGGCATATCATGACACCAACAGGATGTGGGTATCAGAATACACCGACCGATCTGAGTGCGAACATGCCAAAAAGATCGTTACCTTTGCCGTATAAGTGGTATCCATTTTCATACAATATGGAATAAATAAAATAAGCATGATGTCTTTAGCACGTTGGCACCACAATGATCTCCAATAGGACTCTGAGGACACAATGCTGCTCACTGAGAAATAACTGAAGACAACTGAAATTAGGAAAAATGTGATAATTATTGGTAAGGTAGAATAGTTTGTAGATGAAGAGTTTTGGGATGAGAACATATCACATAAGAGTACAAAACACCATCATCAGCTGTACCTCGTGTACAGGGTTCCATCACATGTATCACAGACTCCTATTTCCTCGACCGTTTCCTTCACAGAAATAATGCACAGTGACAGATAATCACACTTCTTGTATGGAAACATCAGAAATTAGACACCTAAGGCACCACCAATATGTAGATTGCTCATGTTGTGTCTAGCACTGTCAACCAAGTTATTATGTACTTACTTCATGTTTATACTAAACGAACATGAAATTCAACAAAGACTAAACTAACTCTTGGCTCTCATGGACTCCTGCATAATGAAAACAAATAATTTTGTATTTTCTGTCAGGAAAATATAACTGACCCCTTCGTTGCCAACCTCTTAACACAGACACCCTCATACTATTTTCAAAAGTCATTACCTAGAAACCATTTGTATTTATGTTTTCTAGCAAAACGATGTGACTTAGAACAAGCACTGATGTGTTCATGTGCAAGAGCATGTTTGAACAAGCTAGTGGTGTAGGATGTTTCGTTTAACGGAGTATCACATGCACCTTAGGACAATGTACAGAAACTGTATGTAGGCCTATGTATGTTTTACCTTCATTATGATGTATATTGCTCTAAAGAAGTTAAAGAACACCAATGTTTTCATATGACCATAGTTAATGGGTATTGCAACACGCAGCCTCCCAATTGTTGGTGTTCTTAAACTTGTTTTGAGTAGTATATATTCTGATAAATAAGAGTGATCTGGGTTCAAGTTTCTGCTGCATCGCAATCTAAGGGCATGTTAAATCTTGGGTTTTTAACATTAGTGTTTCATGTGTTTCTTCAAACACTTCCATGTACATCAAATGACACTCCACTGTTCTTCGACTAGTACTACGACATAGCAAGCACGCAGGTCTAGGGGGTAGGTGGATCAGTTGGGAGACATTTCCCCCGCTTCCCTGCATCTTCTCATAAGATTGGAAAATCAGAATGAAACATACATGTGACCAAATCTCTTAATATCCACATATTGAATATCCTTCATGTTGACATCCGTGTCAGTAATGTTCAAATAATGAAGATGAGCCTCATGCAATTCAGTTAGGGCTGATGCCACTGTAGACACTACATCACTTGTATCATGACAAGATAGCTTACCATCAGCGCTCTGCTCCATAAGTGCCCCTTCAACAATTTCTTGACAAATTTGTAAGTATAGTATTTATAAGCACCCTCTACTAAGGCAAAACATGTACTTCCCTGGAAATATTGAGATATTTAACATAGTAACAGCATGGAAGGGCATATAATTGCTTTGTAACTTGATAAGTTTCATCACAGTGTGAACTGATTGTTTTCACTGCAGCTCGATTTCTGACAACAAATTTAATAACTAATGTTTGGTTTAATAAGCACCCCCCCCCCCCCCCCCCCCCCCCCCCCCCAATGAATATTCCAATTATGGGTGCTAATTATGGCGAATACTGTAATATGTGACATAGACAATCCCCACTTGGAAGAATTCCACAAAGACAAGTGTTGACAGATCAAGGGACATATACTGAACTTAGATCCATGACCAGTAAATCTGCACTAAGGACGCAACTCTGAAGATAAAACTGTGGCACTTTAGACAATACATTGGAAGAAATAATGCCAAACTAGCTTTCTGTACTAGAGTGCTAAAGTTGGGTGTGAGATACTAAGTACAAAATATTGGCACCGAATGACTTGGGAAACCCCGACTTCACTTTCTCGCTATCACAGTATCAACCTCATGCAGAGAGATGGAGTGTCACATGTTTATGGAAGATAATTCTTTGTTAACTATGCAGTCTGACAACTTAACATCTGCCCATTTATGTCTACTAACCCAAACTTTTCTGTCCAGAGATCTAGTCAGTAGATTTGAGTCATAGTGTATGGACTAGCTGAGGTTACTGGACCGAAACAAATTTTAGTAGATTTTGCCTTTGGACCAGTGGCCATGGTCACAGACTACCAAAATCAAGTAAGTTTTCTCTCAAGCATAGTTAGGATAGGATCATGGATTCCAAACTTCTCACACAATGACAAAGTGCCAGCTTGGGCTACTGATGTCAAAGGTTCTTAACATGGACAGATTCACTACTAGAAGCAAAGGCGTTATCATATAAATGACAATACAGATAACAGAATTTAAAAACTACGAAAAAACCCCGAAAATGATCCGTTCTATAGCTGCTGACTTTTTCTTAGGTCATTTGTAATTACTAAACACTCTGACGTTGCTAAACATGGGAAAGGTGGTAAACAATCTTACGAAAAACAAAAAATTATGAACAAATATCACATTGTTGCTATCTGCAATGATTAGCCTTTACAAAGATTTAACAGTCATGTTCAAGGAGCAGACATTGCAGTGGGGGTGGCATTTGTAATGACAGATCAGCAAATAATATCATACCTGATACTTGAAATGTTTCAGTGTTCATCAGATTTACACCATCATGACTGTTAATACCTTTCTATTTAAAGTTAATGATAATTATGTCCACTAACCATGCTAACATGACTACAGATTGAGTGAATTGTGCCACTTCGAACAGTATTAGAGCTGCATCACCTTAGTCAGCTGAATGTGGGAGGAAAGCCTGTGTGATGCAAGTCTTAGATGGCTACCACTAAGGGGAAAGTAACAAGCTCAGGCATGGCGCCAACATGGTTCCGGGATTATAGCCCATGATGATGTGTCTGGACACAGAGAAATGCTGTCTTTGAGAAATGGGCAACCAGTACCCCATGAGCTTAGAACAAGATACTGCACATGCCTTAAATCCAGGCATTAACATAAGATACAGCTATCATGAGATGTTTATCATTTACTACAGATATTGTTTGGAGTCTTTACTCTTTGTAATTGTTATTGTACATAGACATGAAAAGAAAAACTGAATTAAAGAATCCTAGTATTATGAAAAATAAAATAATTGAAATGAAGCATTTCCCACCCTGGTGCATATAATAATATCAAATTGACATTGATGAATTCATTGTGATGTTCATCACGGCCTTATATCTATCATGCCAACTGTCAAAGTTTGAAATCAGGTGGCACTTCTTATTAGTTTATCATGCTAGTAGTCTACCATCCAATTTGATAATTATTGGGGACAAATATTGTGTAGAAGTCCTATATTGACATATCCCAATGAGTGTTCTTATTTCCACCTATAGCCTGCAGAGCCATCAGTCTTGATACACACACTAGTTAATGGAAGGAAGTCATAGACAAGGTGACAACAAAAGTATAACATCTGATTTTTAGTTTTACATCATTATACAGACAAGCCGTTGCAATGTTCTACCTGCTGTTTGCAATTTCAAAACCAAAAACATTCATTACAAACATGACAATATACATAATATTTTCCTATCTTTTTAGAATTTTATCAGAAATGTTTAACCTAGTCAATTACAAACTCCAAGTGTCTTGTGCTTAAGGTTATTCAACCAACCATCTGCACATCTTCCCGAGGCAAGAGAGTTAACTGACTTAAAAGTCCAGTTTCACCCTTGCCGAACTGGGCTGGAATTCCTGGACTTGATCATAGCGCCACCAGTGGCTATTATGTGTTATGTCCCTTCTATGCCTCTCCTATGGACCAATCAGATTCCTCCTCTCGTATCACTTGCATTTGCTTCAATCTAAATGGTGGCGCCTAGTCAAGACGATCTGATCGATAATCAAGATCTATATTGTGATAAAATGGGTCTTACATCGCTAAGTGCATCAAATCATGTGAGCCCCTTGATTGAAAACATGAAAAGATTAGGAAAATATCTGTTGACGAGTTGGCGGTGCACATGCTTTGCAAATCCTGCAATCGATCGAAATCTGCATGACAGTTTATGAACCGGATTTCGATTTCGGTGCGCGATTGTGATTGGACTATGCAAAGACTCGTTAGTCCAGCCAAAATGTAACTCCATAATACCAGCCTAGGTCGGCAAGGGTGGAAACTGGACTTTTATAGTCAGTTAACTCACTTGCCTTGGGAAGATGCCATCATGCATGATTTTGTAAAAGTAGAAAAATAGTGAAAAATATTTGGATGTTCATGGACCATGTTTGGTGAAGAAAGTGAGGACAGGAAAAGGGAAACCTTCATTCTGAATAACAGTGTCTAATTAACATGAAGACAATACCTCCAATTACTTGAGCATTTCGAGCCAGTTCATGACATTGATGATTAACCACAATACATATGTCGAGGGAAAATCAATATATTACCAGACAACTGGGAGTGTGAGTAGGCCTAACACTTCCATGTTAACCATAGAACTAATGACAAAGTAGACACAATTTATGGATAACAACTTCTTTATATAAAGGTGACGTTTTAGTATAGATCCTTATGCCATTGTCAAGCAGTATAAGGATCTATACTGAAATGTTGCCTTTGCAGTAAAAAAAGAAGTTGTTATCCATACATTGAGTCTTCTTTGTCATCCTTCTCAGTAATGTCTATCAAACAATTCGTAGAACTAATGAATGAGTGAGTGAGTGGGTCAGGTTTTAATACTTTAATGCTGCTTTTATTACTAATCCAGCCAATCATGGAAGGGGATCGTCATGGGCTGCACACTTGGTAAATATTGGATCTGTCACAATGTCGGTAATCAAACCCATGATCTGGTTTGACAAGCAAAGCCTTGAACCACCAGGCTACCCCATTCCTTTAGATGTAGAGGATACTGCAGCAGTGCATGATGGGGAAAGAGAAATAAATGTTAGTCTAGCAATCAATCCTGAAGATCCCAGATATACATAATCATGTCAATACCAATGATCATATTCATGTATGAAATAAAAAAAAATGGTCCTAGGAATTGTCTTTGGAATACAACTAGCACACAGGACTATTGATATATGCAACATCTAAATACACAACTGGATATGGTAGAACATCACTCACAAATGTGTTTTCAGTATGGACATAATACAGGTGTACAGGTACCTTACTGGACGTGGTTAGAGTCATAATATTGAATGAGCACGGAAGGTTAGTCACGCTCTTGGCACAACGTAAATCAAGTCTATGGAAAAAGTAAATTACAGTCACTGTCGTTCTCATCCCCAAAAAATAAATTCTCAAAACCCATTTGCGAAAATATCTAGTATATAACAAAATAGGAGCCACTACAGCCACAAGCATAAAAATAACCACAACGCAAGCACTGCTGTTTCTGATTGAGATAAAACACATTCTCTGTCAGTGCATTGCTATAAAACTTTCTAACTTCTTTGGAACAATATCCTTGTAGTCCAGACTGTGCTTCATGATTTTCCTTGCAGCTAGGCACTGTAAGCTTATAAAGCTCAGTGGCGACACAATATCGTTGATTGTCATTCCACGAATCAGCTGCATGGGAGTCTTTCTATCATTGTTACAAGCGTCTAAGTGAGCCCCAGATTTGAGAAGAGTCCGAACAATTTCTACCCGACATGGGCGGTTTGATGGAGTTGTATGTACATTACTGGCAGCAGTGTGAAGCGGCGTGTTGCCATCAACATCAACAGCATTAACATCAGCTCCTACTTCTACCAGCAGTTGAACAACATCATTGGTTGGAAAGTTGCACACAGGATAACGCCCAACATTAGTCGTTTCTTTAGCACATGCCAAATGGAGCGGCGTATAACCCTTTGATCCCCGAGGATCAAACTGCACAAAATCATATACTGTCTGTTTGAAGCTATGCTCCTGTTCACCCCCAAGCTGAGATTGTAAGCGACACACTAAGCACAGCAGGTGCATGATTATCACAAGTAGACGATGAAAGTGGGTAATGTCTCGGTCAGCGGCACTAGTTTTCATCAACACCTCTTTTCCCTTTTTCAGTTCGTGGATAGCTCGAACAAGAACTTTCATGATGTCTTTGAAGTCCACAGGATGCGGAGGTCGGTATCTCCACTCTGTGGTCATAAAAGAAAACAATTCTGCGAAAGACAAAAAACTGCTTTGGGTCATTGGACTAAGGGCTTCTAGGACCTGCTGTTGCATGTCTAAGGCATACATCCATAGCATGATACAGCGGTCAAAGTTACCCATATCCGCGTACAGTGCACCCCTATATCGGATATAATAGGAAGTGTCTGGATGAGCTGGGCCTAAGATACGTTCACGTACTAATAATGCTTGCATTCTCATATCATCGGGATCAGCTATCAGATCATCCAGCTGATCACAGGAAGTCACTTCTACAGCATTTTCATATGCTGCTATAGGTGATGCTGTCTCTGGCTTCAAGATGGGACGATTCCTGTCCTTGTATCTCTCCTCCATCGCTTGTCGCCACATGTGAATAGCACCCATCATATCCCTCTTCTTGTCCACATAGGTAGCACCAAGCAGTTCCAGGGCATCAATCTTCTGTTCCCGAGAACACTCTCGTCTGTCTATAAGAAACTCAACAATCTTGGTGAATCCTGCAACTGCAGCAGCTAGGAGAGGCGTCATCCCATAAGCATCCTTCTCCATCCGAGCCAAGTGTTTTAAAAGCAACTTCATGATTTCCAAGCTACCTGACTCTGCACAGTCATGAAGAGCGGTATTACCTGAAACGTACATATAGACTCTTACAGTTTTTGAAAATTCAATTTGAAACGTCACAAATAGCAATTTCTATCAGCATGACAGCGATAGAAACTAACATTTTCAGTCCACTAGTCCTTATAATGATAACATATGGCAAATTTCAACTAGTTCTTAACAATTGGTCAGTTTTTAAAGGACTATAGGACTAGAACCAATTTCTAATGCTGCATCATCAGATCAATTACACTGAAAACAATGAAAGTCATTGAAACTTCATTTAAAATAAAAGCAAATACTAACATGAGTAGGGTCCTGAATCATGATACAGAAAGCAAGAGAGCATGTGTTATGCATAGTTTTTCAGTCTGCACCAAAACACTTTTGAGTCTACTGAGTACTAGCCTGAAGTTGTCTCTTTGCATAATTTTAAATGTTATTTAATACTGCAGCATTACAGCTGTATCGTCATGGTGACCTGTAAATATTTTAGCCTAGACCAAGCATACTACCCACAAACCAAAAACAGGGTGCTGTAGACATTTTCTTATCTGGAACCAAAGTGGCTTCCACCTGTGTTTGTAAATAGCAATGCCAAGCTTATTGCCAAAAGACCCACAACTTAATTTTGCTAAATACAACATTGGCAAAAGGCCAAAATAATAATCATACTCAACAACGTTAGAAATTGGCACTAGTCCTGTTGCCTTTGACAAACTGCCCAATAGTTAAGGTATCATAAGGACTAGTAGAAATTTGCCCTTTTTAAGGGTTTTGCTATATGTTATCATCATAAGGACTAGTAGACGCAAACAGTTGGTTTCTACCACTGCTCAAATCATGCAAACATTCAAACTGATGCCCAAATGAACTCAATTAAATTTTCTTCATGTTTTGGGCATATTTTTCTTTAATCAAACTTTACTCTGATTGAGAGTAGTATCATCTTGCAAAAGATGGCAAAATGCCAACCTACCTACCATGCATACAGGGAAAGTACCTCGAACAAACCACTTTGGTTCGCCACAGATCATGCTAATCATCCTACAGGTATCCTTAGGCATGTTCATGTTTTTCTGATGTTCTAACATACTATCACTTCTGTGGCTAGTTGAATTATGAGGGTAGTTTCTATCACTGATCTACCCAGATCTACATTGCAAGTTAGCTATGGGATAATGGGTAACGTAAATACTTAAAAGAAATGTTAAAAATTCTTTCTTCAAAAGTGGTAAAGTGCAAGCTGATAAGTATAACATAGCAAACAGAGATTGAAACCTCTTGCTGAACTTAAACTAACCAACACCTGTCAAACTATGTTTCTAAAATTGGACTCAGTGATTTGGCTCTCTGCCATGTTCAAGCCTTCATGAATAAGAAGTTAGTTTCATTAAGCCATGTCAGACTTGGTAATAACCAAGTGAACTCATAACATTACCTTTAACACTCTTTCTATTGACATCTGCATTAAGTTGCAAGAGGTATTCAGCTATTTCCTTGTGTCCCTTATAGCAGGATATCATCAAACATGTGTGGCCATGGCGATTGGCAATTTCAATGTCAGCATCATGCTCAACCAGATATTTCACAATCTCAAAATGCCCATCAAAACATGCAGCTCTGAGAGGTGTAGAGTTTGTGTATGTTGTCTTATTGACCCCCGCCCCTTTCTCAACGAGAAACATCACAACCCCCAAGTGACCCGCAGCTGCAGCACACCAAAGGGGAGGGGCACCCTCAATCGTCTCTCCATCGAAAGTGACAGACCCAACTTGTTCTATGTCTGCGCTGCATGTTTCTACTAGGTACTTTACAACATCCAGATGACCATTCCGACAAGCCATTATCAGAGGAGTGGCTCCATTCGTTTTTGCATGGATTAATTTTGACACCTCGTCTTTAGTTTTTCGATCGAGATATATCCGAAGACGGCCGAGTTTGCCGTCTCGAGCTGCGTTGTAGACGACACTACGGTACTCCATCTGTACTGTTGTCCCTCCGTCCGGGCTGCCACAAACTCAGCATAGTTTCATTTGATAATTAAAGTCATCCTGGTTGATATAACGGACATCAGTGAAAGGTGTATTTGCTGACACTTGTCAGACATTTCAACATGGAGGATGTAATATTTGGCCGCTAGGTGTCGTGAGGAAACAAAGGGGAGCCACTCTAATGTTCATGCCTGGCGCACAGCCGCTAGAAACTCGTTTTTTGAACGGTTACTGTATAAGATTTTTCTTGATGAATGCACACATTGTGAATTTTCTCTTAAAATATTTTTGAGCGACTTAGGTTAATATATTTTATAATATTGGTGCCGATAATATCTTTAATAACGGCACAGCATTAATAATAATACAGTAATTTTGAACTAATATAACCTTTTCACAGGGCCTTTCTTAGTGACTGTAGGGTTAGAGCAAGTCTGATCTGGTTATGGGATTAGCAGTATGAAACGGAAGGGATTTGGTAATATTTAGTAACTGAGAGAGATGGATTTAGCGCCGCTTTGAACAGTATTTTAGTTATATTACGCTGTGTACGTTTGATGTTGGGGAAAAGTCCGAAGTGACATAAATTTTAAACATTTACCATTTGGTAAAACCCACGAGTACTGGTATGGTGCTGACATATCTGGATGCATAATCAAAGCGAACCGGGATTCGAACCACGACCGTACTATTATAGGTTTGTGGCATGACTTAGATGAATGGGCCACCCGTGCCCCCTGTAAATGTTTAGACTAAACAAGTAAAACATTTTTGTTCTGTGTGTGTACTTGTGCACTTATTTCTTTGAATTCCGATCATGGTAATCTAGATTATGGTGTTCTCGTGACTTGGATACTTCTGTTTTAGAAATAAAGTAAAGTATGCATCAAGGATGAAGACGGCGCAATAATATTGTCATCTAATACTTAATGCATTAAGGGGCGGTGGGGTAGCCTATTGGTATAAAAGCGTTCGCTTGTCACGCTGAAGATCCGGGTTCGATTCCCAACATGGGTACAATGTGTTAAAAACAGCCCGCTGTAGGTCACCAATAACGTGTTAGCTTGGTTTAATTGTATAACACACACACACACACACACACACACACCACATGTATATTACGGCGTGTCAACTAAATAATGGGAGAAAGGAAGGAGGGGTGCATGATAAGGGTTAAGCATATTGTACGATATAAACATATCTTTTCGATAGTTTTTAGTAAACCGGTAAAAGTTTGAACTCAAAGCAGTGCGCAAATTGGATCATATATTCAGTGTCAAGAGTTACTTCCCTTCCCACATACATGTGTCAGCATACCAATAAACAATATTTTAAAAAACTCCGCCTGATTGCAGGTACGTTAACGAGCGCACAAGCAAGGGGATGACAACTTTACTTGCTCATCACCAAATATCTTATTATGTAAAACTTGTTATTAATAAAACACATTAAACCCTTGTTTGTCTTACTGTAAAACAATGAGAGCATGAGTTATATACTATAGAACACGAAGATTCGGATCAGCTGTACAACACATACATCCCCAGCAAATCAGATGTGAGAACAAAATACGAACATATTTTGTGTGTATGCATTTAGTAACACATTTGGTGCACGTGTTCTAGATTTCAACCGTGATCCCAGTAAAATCAAATCTTTTCTCCGAGGCCATACCTCTCCCTTGCGCGAGTGTAACATATGGGAGGTAACTCTGCAACACCAAGATGTGTTCAGTGCGTATTGACACACTCCCTTCCCCGTTGCTTATCGGCCTTTATGAATGAAGGTAAACCTACAGACGAAGGTTATGTAACTCATATATAATTATTGATTTACTGCATGCTGAAATATCTTGAACAGCTTAACTAAATCCTGCCATATGGTGTAAAAAAAACATGACATATCGATGTGTTTGCATTAATTATGACTTGTGACGCTTAGTCAATATTACAAATAATACACAGGACAGATATGAATTATCAAATTCTTGACTTTATTATTAAGTAACCGCCATAACTATATTGGAAGGAGTTCGTCTATTTCACTTGTTCTTGTATATGTAATGCTGTAATTAGCAGTTAGTGAGTGGGTTGGGTTTTACTCCACATGTTACAATATTTCAGCGTATTCACGGCGTAACACATTTTACCCATGTTGGGAATCGAACCCGGGCCTTCGACGTAACGAGCGAACGCTTTAAGCACTAGGTTACCCCACCGCCCATGTTTCATATATAAATCGTTAATATATCACATCAACAAAATAAATACAAATAAAACATATCCAACGACATCATTGTCGCGATCTTCGCTACAACCCTACTGCTTATGACAATATAATATAGACACAAGTCCAACGCATTTTATATAAAACGGTACATTAGATAAAAAGAACAACTTTATTTACCTACATATCTTAAGTACATGGTTAATCACATGAATGCAAGCCTGTCAGTATAGTGTAATAAAACGTCAGCTTTATTAACATTTAAGTGTCATTATCTCGCCCCCCTTCCAAGTTGCCAAGTCGCCATTCAAGATTATTGATCGACTATATACAGGCTCACTCAGAAGTAAGATAACACATCACCTTCACAGCCAGTTAAATACCCACACACAGCATCTCAGCCCGTCAAGATACCCCGTGCAGGGTCGGTCCCCGTGGGAGCCCCAGCGCTGACGACAGATGGCAAGTTGATTCACAGAGGAAAAGGTCGTGATGATGGCCACATTGTGGCTCTTTTGAAAATGGAAACAACTTCAAATATTTCAGGTAATCTATTTTACTATTTACATATACACTTCCCATGAGTGAGTGGATATATACAATACGTCATGTGTTAAGCCCCTGTTGTCAGACCATGTGACGTTGGGGCACTGAGATGTGACGGTATTACTATAACGTCTACGTGTGGGATTTACGGTTACACCTATTGCCTAGATGTAAGGGTGCTCATTTATTATGTAAACCCACGTCACGAAAACTGAAATAATCAATGAAATGTCGTTATAAGGCTTTTGTTGAGGGCATTTTTGGTATTATTAAAACACTATGCAAAGAAGACGCTGGGGAAATTGAGGAAACGTTGTATTCATTATTTTCATTTTTATTGTACATTTAAACTAAAGTAACCATTTCTTTTACCAATAATACCAAACATATAACTCTCTATTTGAGAGGCGATGGGGTAGCCTAGTGGTTAAGGAGTTCGCTCGTCACGCCGAAGACCCGGGTTCGATTCCTAACATTGGTACAACGTATCAAGCCTATTTCTAAAGTCCCCCGCTGTGATATTGCAGGAATATTGCTAAAAACGGCGTAAAACCACACTCACTCTCTATTTGAGAACATTGTATCTTTATGTGTTTGAATTAGGAAATCTAAAGAATTGCAGCCATCTAAAGAAATGTTCACAAACCCCTTTTTATCTGCAACGACTACACATTGCCTGATTTCCACGGGAAGTTCATGAGTAGGTCATTTGTTATGCACATTGATCAGTTGTTCGCGCCATGCAATGACTACAAGCGCGATTACCTAACCGTGGACGCACCAACTCCGACAGTCGGAACCAGCCTGAGACAGCAAAGGGGTCGTCTTCGTTATCGTCATGAGGACACTTGAGTCGTTGTCGTTGACATTCCCCAAACTTTGTATCTGATGGACTGACTGTACACGATCGCTGATCACAATCGAGAGTATTGTGAATAGCATATGTCGAAACGCATGCTTCACGAGGATCATAAACATCACAATCATATCTCTTGCCTTGGTGGGCGTGGTCTGCGCTGATCGACATGAGCGAGTAGTCTGTGTTGTGGTGAAGTTAAGTAAATTTTTAGGTCTTTTTCGACCCCATTTACTTGATCAGTTAAACTGCTCAAAAGAAGTTAGAGAACATCCGATTATACTGCTCAAAATACATGACAGAACTTTATTCATACGAAAAAGATCGGGTGATCTTTAACTTTTTTTTGTAGTATTTGTTTTGTTTCAGCATTGGCACGTAACACGTTCTTCCTTCTCCCGTGTGCATGTCGTCCCTATAACAAGTTATTATTTCTATCTCTGGGTAGGAGTTGACATTTAAAGTCGAAAATGTTCATTTATCAATTAAGCTTTGCTCTAGTCTTGACCTGTCTTCAATTGTGGAGTATTTCCTCTGGTCGGAATATTGAAAAAACAATCATGTACTTTTTCAGGGAAGGAGATTTCGCGTGAATCTAGATATGCCGTAGAAAACCATACGATGTTTGAGAATACCACAATGTCAAGTAAGTTTCTGATACTCAGGTAGTGCCCGTGAAACGACCAGTAGTGTACAGCATGCCTCGTTCACTGCGAGTGTTGATTGTACTCCAGTTTTTGTAGCAAGCAGCATTGTTACGGTGGATAGACGCAAAACGGATGAGAATCGAACTCGGTTTTCGGTATGACGAGCAAACGCTTTTTCTACAAGGCTACACTAACTAGTCCTGAGGGTGGTTCCATGTTCATAGCTCAGTCCATCTAGGCTGTTGTAAATCTTATACTATAACATGGACGTAAACTAGCTTTAGGGGTGAGATTGTAACTTGATAAACATTGACACAGGATGCCATTACAGTTTGATTGGGTGAAGTGGCTATGTTGTGTGTTTTATTGTTGTTCAGGCCGCACTCAGAGGCTTGGACCAGACAATCCAGTGACTGACATCATGAACATTGATCAATGCAGCTGGGATACGATGACATGAATCAACCAAGTCATCGAACTTGACCACTAGATCCCATTAGTCGCCTCTTACGACAAGTATGGGTTGCTGAGGATCAGATTTAACCCGGATCTTCACGGGTATTATGGGTAGATTCATTTTGATTACATTATTTAAATGTATATCCATCATTGTTGAAATCTATGACATCAATGTTTCTGTTATTTCCAGAAATACTGCTGACGGTTCTTGGAGTGTCCTCTGCTCTCGGTCTAGCCTTCCTCATCATGTCGTGTCTTTTTTGCATCCATGTCATACGAAGATACTACAAGAAAAAACAAAAAATGTATGACGTTCCGGAAATTATTGAAATGCCCGACCCTTTCATTGCAAGTACGGTCAAAGAACAGATGTTGGGATCTGATGAACCGGAAGCGAACACCTACAGCTGCCTTGACCTTGTGACTCAGAAGCCCCAAATCGACCATTGGCCTGGACTTTCTGTTCCGGGGGACGTCACAGGAGCCAGCCATGAACTGACTCATGTCAGAAGTTGGGAGGATATTCCTAGTTGCTCAGATGATGTCAACATCGGGGCGTCGAGATGGAAATGTCGGTCATATTCTCTAGCAAGCCTCAATATGGGTATAGAAGCATACAATACCACGTTGCATTTCAGTGCTGAATATGTCAAGGAAAGGTCAACGTTGACGGTTGTCCTTCAACTCGTGTCGTCTTTGCCACTCAAGTTCAGAGGTCGGGCGGTGTACGCTGTCGCGCACCTGTATCCTTATCGCACAGAAGGCTTGGAAAGTAGATTGACTGTCTCTGCGGAAAGTGCGGAGTTTAAAGAAACAATCAAGTTCAGGGACGTTTCTAACGAAGACCTAGAAAAATCAACACTGAAAATTACTTTGTACTCGAAGAAGCTGAAAAAATCTAGCAAAGATGCCTTTATAGGTCAAGTGTATTTGAAAGGAAGTGACGTGAACTGGACCCCGCAACGACTGCTGCAGTTCGACATGAAGATTGAGAGAAAACAACTGAAGAGGGTAAGTTTGTTTGTTTGTTTGTTGTTTAACGCCGCACTCAGCAAAAATCCAGCTTTATGACGGGGGTCTGTACATAATCGAGTCTGGAACAGACTGATTGATATCATGTGTATCGATCCACGCAATTGGGATACGATGACATGGATCAACCAAGTCAGCGAGCCTGACCACCTGATCCCCTTATTTGCCTCTTAGGACAGGCATAATCGCCACTTATGACCAGCATACATTGCTGAAGACCTGTTCTATCCCGGATCTTCACGGGTCGAAGAGGGTAAGTAGAACTATTACAAACAATTTCTCCATGATGGCCCTAGGTAGGCGAAAGCCTGGGTTCGAACCTACGTGGGTACAATGTGTCAAGCCCATTTCTGGAGTCACACGCCGTGATAATTCCGGAATATGGCTAAGAGCGGCGTGAACCCCAAGTCACTCATTCACACAATCACCCATTGGGATTCGGGGGTAGAGTAGGACCAATAATTGAGGATCGTGTGGCTACAATGTCTGAATAGTGTCATCGTGCCCGCCCAGACATCATGCATATGAGCTCATGCTATTAATCACTGGTTCGGCATAGCCACCGCGATATTGCTGGACTATTGCTGAGTGCGGCGTGACACAACATGCATTTACTCACACTGCAGATAGCTATCTAAGTTATATATGAAACAATTATACTGAAGTCTATTCCAGAATTGTCTGTACAATGTATATGACATTTGTAAATTTAGAAATTGCCTTTTATTTCCGACAGAAGTTTAATATGTGTTCCGTGTTAGTGAGTAAATTAAACTCCATTTTCAAAACTATACAAAACAGGGTCGGCGGGGTAGCCTAGTGGTTAAATTGTTCCCTCGTCACGCCGAAGACCCGGGTTCGATTCCCCACATGGGTACAATGGTGTCCCCGGCCGTGATATTGTTGGAATATTGCTAAAAGCGGCGTAAAATCATACTCACCCACTCACTCTACAAAACATATGTTCAGTGAATACGGAAGGTTGAATCATGCTTTGCTAAACCATTGTATAGGATATAGAAAGCCAACGGATACTCACAAGGGACAAGATTTTGGAAAATACATATAGTTTTATCTTACTTATGAACACTCAACAAACCTTGCCGTTTCGTCTTATCAGGGTCATTGTGACCCTGGAAGCTTTGTGCCGAGGAGTCTTTATAAAATCAATGTCTACTTTTACGGCAGATATAAACTGATGTCAAACATTCCACCATGTATAGCGATATCACGCCTGGCAACACAGGTATTTAATTAAACCGCCTGAACTGGTGGTAAGTTAATGAATCATTTCAGCGGCAAACGTACACGCGGAATTATTTCGGGACATTTGCACAGTCAGGTCAAAGGTTGAAAGCTGTTTTATTGTTTCTTTGAGCTCAGTCGAACAAAACAGAACAGGGTAAAGTTATAAATTCAATAAATCAATACCCATTTTGCAAATTTACTAAAACGCCTAATTACAATGAAATCTAAAATACTTGCTCAGTTGCGTTAAATCCGTCTCGATTTCCGTTATGCGTGTTTCCATGACAACGACTAAATGAGATAGGGCGCCCCACAAAGATAGTTTTTATAGCATTTAGATGCAGTCATTAAGTAACAGTTTTATAACCAATAAACAATCTACGCTCATTTTCACTTATCGACCAGGTTGCGAGGATTACCAGTTCTGCCTGGGTGAACATTATTCCTCCACTCTCTGTAATATTGCTCAAGATTGGGGAATAACATTTCATATTACCTAAATTATCGGATTCGAAAGACGTGTACAATAAATAAAAACGACACATTCCTTTCCTTTGTCATTACAAATGTGTACAAAAGGCAAAGTAAATTGTACTATTCCGACTAAACATGTATTTATGAATCTCAAATAGTGATTATACCAGGTGCGAAAAGGTGAGCGTATCCTGCCCTCGCTGGTGGCACCCTTCACATACACATGCAAAGGCAGGTCAATTATTAATCACCTGCAAAAAACAGCCACGGACCATATGATACAAGCCACAATAGGGAATTGCATTAAACATTTCATTGGTCAGTGATGCGTCAAATTTGTAACAACCCATACCAGCCGGCCTTTACACATATCATGACGTCATTATGCATATTTGATCACGCCACAATTGACACATTCGCACGTTGAGTGACCATACAAAGTCCTATGCCACGCACACATTTCACTAAAACTACTGGTAATCCAGGAAAAGTTGAACAACTCACAAAACGCGGTTGAGACAAGTACAAGGTGCACGGAATTTGCGCGAACGCATTTAGTTTGTTTGACATTACGCTCCTGTGGATACACGTGTTGCTCTTAAGACTATTAAGAGGTTGGTGTGATACCAGATACCAGAATTCTCAAACTGTCGTTAATTACAAACGAATAAATAAGCATGTCAAAGCTAGGTTAGCATGGCCAAATGATACATTCTCAGGCTCGAGAATTGGCCGATAATGTCATAAATTACAGGGAGAATGTACAGATCAGGCATTGTCAAAAGCTAGCATGGCCACTGGTCTGTCTGTATCTAGGCTAAAGTGCACCAGAGTCGAATATGTCGCTCCTGACATAGGGGAGAGTAGTTTCTATGCTAACGTAAGTCGGGAAATCGTCAGCACGCACTATTCTGTCCTACTGAACTCGACACGCACATATTCATCGTAGTACTTGTCGCGGACCACCCGCTACCCCTTTCATTACAATGGTACGCGCCAGTGGGCGGACCACATACATGGTCATACGGGGGTGATTGTCAGGTTTCAACTCAACTCCTGACTTACCAGTGTGTATTGTAACTTGTTTTTATAAAAAAAACATTCAGCTGTCAAGATGCCGGTCACCCCGCTAGTGCCACATAGAACACAATGATACACACGGACACTTCCTCGTAGTCGTGAAATATGTTAACCCTAACTGCTCCACGGTAATGGCCCGTCCGCATTAACGAGGTTCCACTAGGAATGAACCATATGTAACTATTCACTGAATAATACAGCACAAACATGTAGTCATCCAAGTGAACAATGATTGTTCTGAATACTGCTCTCTTCTTGTCGTTCTGTTTAGCGAACTTAGATTCGAAAGCTGTCCAACAGTTCACGCAATATTTTATCGTTTCATATTTCATGTTCTCTCTGGTAGCATGCTTTTGGTAAGAGCCGACAAATGATAACATGACTCTTATGTTGCTTGCCCCGTGAAGGCCCGGGTTTGATTCCCCATATGGGTGCAATGTGTGAAGCCCATTTGTGGTGTCCCCCACCATGATATTGCTAAAAGCGGAGTAAAACCATACTCACTATTTGATTAACTACAGGGGCAGCGAAGTAGCTTAAATATTGCTAAATTTGGAGTAAAACAACATTTCTCCACACAATATCTTCTACACCAGAATAACTGCCTGGTTCGAGACCCAATTTAAGATCGGTCAACTTTTTTACCATGTTGAATACATTGCAGCAATCCACGTCGGAGAAGTACTTGTTCAAGGACATGGGGGAGCTGTTTGTGTTGTTACAGTACCAGCAGCTGGCAAACCGCATCAAGGTCCTTGTCCGCAAAGCCAACAACCTGCCTCGTTCTGACAAACTTCTCGGGAACCCAGGTGAGCAGCTGAACTAGCGGTCTATGCATGGTGAACACGCTGACGCTTCAACTGTAACGTTACACGATGGCGCAATACGTGACTTGTCATTAGGGACCGTGAAGATCTGGGTTAGAATCAGTCCTCAGCAACCCATGCTTACCGTAAAAGGCGATTATGCATCTCGTATGAGGCGACTAGCGGGATAGGGTTGTCAGGCTCGCTGACTTGGTTGATGCATGTCATCATATCCCAATTTTATGCTCTGCGGATCAATGCTCATGATATCAACCACTGGATTGTCTGGTCTATACTCGATTATTTACAGACCGTCATCATATAGCTGTAATATTGCTGAGTGCAGCGTTAAACAACAAACAAACATTAGAGACCGACTATTTAATTAACATTTTTTTTTTTTTTACACACAACACATTCTTTTCCAGAACATGTCCAGTGAACGATTTAGATAGTTTTGAGTGAAAGCCGAGGACAAACTGTCTTCCACTATTTTTACGTTGTAACTTGTGCCATGTCTGTATTTTGCGGGGGCGATGGGGTAGCCTAGTGCTTCATGCGTTAACTCGTCATGCCGAAGACCCGGGTTCGATTCCCCACATGGGTACAATGTATGAAGCCTATTTCCCGGTGTCCTCTGCCGTGATGTTGCTGGAATATTGCTAAAGGCGGCGCAACCCCATACTCACTCACTCACTCACTTACTCACTCACTGTATTTTGCGGAAACAGTGGGTGTGTAGACAGGCAGTGTTGGACTGGAACGATTTGAATCCCACTTGCTCGGACGATCTGAGCTTAGATCCTGGTGTATGTGGGAGGAAAGTCAAATGTGACGCAGGTCGTAAACGTTTGCTGTTGTGGGATTCGAACCCACGACTAGTAGTAGTAGATGCACCTTTCCGCACATATCCAGTTTTCTTTTTCTGTTTCAGCGCATTACGTCATAGTCAACTTACGGAAGGACGACACCGTCATCGACCACAGAGAGACTTCTACACAGAGCGGGTACTCGCCAATATGGAACCAGCCATTCCTGTTTGACACGCCTAGAAGTGAAATTACCGACCTATCCATTGAGTTTGTCATTATGAGAGGGAGGCGATACAAAGATGGCGTCGTTGGTCACGTGACAGTAGGCCCGGAGACGTCGGGCACTGGGCTTAGTCATTGGGAAGAAATCATGAAACCTCATGGGAATGAAATAGCCAGGTGGCATAACTTGATGCCTGTTTTCAAATTTCAGTAGTTAAGCCAGTAATATGGTGCAATATTGCGGGACCATTCCCATTGTTACAGAATAATTTCATTTTTATGCTGGTTCTTATGAAATACTAAAAATGTAATTTGCAGTTACAGTATGATGCACAAGTGTGCATATGTATTATATATGCTTGGTAAGGATGTAGGGATTATTGCTGATGAACATGTGAAGATAATGCAGACAGATATTGTGAAATAAATCCGCTTTTTCACAAATTTCATTTCTTCTTTCCACAAACCTACGGAGACAAGGAAGGGGAACGGGCACCGCCATCATGTCACATCTTACAAGGACGCGATGATTTACCATTTACATATTTTAGGCATTATTTCATATGTAGAAATTAATTACAGTTTATTTTTCTCGTAAACTAAGCAATCAGCTGAACGCGCATTTTCTACCGATCTACCGGTGATTCGGTTGAAAAATACCTATTCATATAACTTCAAAGAGTTTCGTTGCTTTGATCGGATGAGTTTCATTCGAAACTGTTTATTTGATCAGAAATAATATATTCCATTGTCTCACCGTACATTACAATACCAGCTTCTGATTGGTTACGGAGTGAACAATTATTTCCTATGCTGCCCGCTCATGAATGTTCCCGCTGAGAAATCAGTCGGAACACACCGTATGTAACTTGCTTATCTCGCATAAGTATCGTTTAGCTGATACAAACCCGATGTTTATTCGAAAGCTTTTAGGGCGGTCGGGTAGCCTAGTGGTTAAAGCGTTCGCTCGTCACGCCAAAGACCCGGGTTCGATTCCCGACATTGGTACATTGTGTGAAGCCCATTTCTGGTGTCCCCCGCCGTGATATTGCTGGAATATTGCTAAAAGCGGCGTAAAACAATACTCACTCACTCGAAAGCTTTTAGCAAAAGGATGTAACAGTTCGTTTGCGTTGTCTGCTAGCTATCAATATGACTTAATCAAAGCTATGTGAAACTAGTAAGAATGATGGCTCGGGGTACACAGGCTCACACAGCGGGTGCACCACACTATATACCCCTCGAGATCGGTTGAAGCCTCACAAAGAAACTTGTCACGCGTCTGTGTAACAATCTTATATTTTAAAAGTATACAGGGTTTCGGGATATTATTAATCGTGTTCGTGTCACATCTGGTGACGTAAGATTGTTTCAGGTGTTTCACATAGATGTCATATCTCATTTGTCAGCTGAGATAGCACAACCTTCCCGAGGCAAGGGAGTTAAATGACTATGAAAGTTCTGTTTCCACCCTTGCCGAACTAGGCTGGTATTATGGAGTTACATTTTGGCTGGACTAACGAGTCTATGAATAGTCCAATCAAAATCGCGCACCGAAATCGAAATCCGGTTCGTAAAGTGTCATGCAGATTTCGGTCGACTGCAGCATTTGCAAAGCATGTGCACCGCTAACTCGTTGTCAACAAATATTTTCTAAATCTTTTCATGTTTTTAATCAAGGTGCTCACGTGATTTGATGCACTTCGCGATGTAAAACTCGTTTTATCACAATACAGATCTTGATTATCGATCAGATCGTCTTGACTGGGCGCCACCGTTTTGTTTGAAGCAAATGCAAGTGATACGAGAGGTTGAATCTTATTGGTCAGTAGGAGAGGCATAGAAAGGACATAACTCGCAATAGCCACTGGTGGCGCTACGATCGAGCCCAGGAATTCCAGCCTAGTTCGGCAAGGGTGGAAACTTGACTTTTAAAGTCAGTTAACTCCTTGCCTCGGGAAGATGAGATAGCACACGTGATAACTATGTTCATGATGTCCATTGAGTTAGATACCAATGAGCAATCAATCAACGTGTTATCGGCTAATCCTTTGAACAAAGCATGTTGTTTTCACATATGTATAGGTGTATGGGTGTATTCCGTCAGCTAGGTAAACCAACATATATAAACACTTAGTTTTGACAAATCCACTGAATGATAGTAATTAATCAATCAACGAATTATCGGTTAATCCTTTGATGGATGTAGTTTTGCAACTCAACTGACCATCCCTGTCCTGTCCTGTCCTGACCTGCCTCGTGCATATTACATAATATATAACCCATTCACCACATCAGATATTGATTTATAAATATAATTTGTGAATACAAGAGAATAACCAGCCGAGATAATCCGCCGAAACAGATTCCATTTGGCGTGAAGGGCAAAACAGTTGGGAAAATTACATGAATGGACAACCGAAAAACTAGCGACGACACCAGGTGTTCGCGAAAGGACAAGCACGCCGCACCCCACCGGCAGCACCATCCATCCAAACAATTTTCATGAAAAATGATCCTCCCTCTACCTGACGCCGCACTTTCTTAGATTGAATAATTACCCCAGATACGAAAAATGCCAAATGCGAACCGATGATTGCTATACTAGTATAATCCTTGACACCCTCAGGCAGGGTTGAATGTTGTTCAGTTATTTTGCATAGTCTTTGCCAGGTAATTCTAGGGGTCTACCACTGGTTATACCTGTAATAAAGTCATTACGTGAGCATCAAGTGAACGACGGCGTATCAGGTTTTGGTTCAATGCCATACCAGATGGACTACAAGAATGGTGAAATAAATGTATTACATGCAGTTTGCCTAAAAAATAAGGGTCGTTGCTGTTTTGAGTATCTGAACTGGACTTCATCGTTGCAAAAATAACGCGTAACGTATTTGTTGTATACTAAAGAATATAAAGCACATACACATTTTCTTTCATGGTTTGTTCTTATCATGCCCTTCCCAAATGAAATTATGCGGAGGACGTAGAAGCGTGGTCCTTCCGTCACGTTTCGTTTCCGGAGCATCTAATAAACCATTAAATATTTTTCAATGCAATATTGTATACACATCAGGCATACAATACTGGTGTCTTGTGCTGTTCAGAAAAAATATGTGCGCTTCCATGGCATCAATTTGGACTTCAAACGAGGGTAGGGATAATTTCAAGAGCATAACTCATAATAACATGTTTCTCATATCAAGTAAGTGCTGAAGATAGTAGGGAAAACAGTTTCAGGATATGTGACTTTGTGTGACCAAGAGGCAACCCGTGCCGGTGATGCGCGAACCGACAACATTTGTGAAGGGTGGAATAACAACCAACAACTTGTGTGAAGGGTGGAATAACAACCAACAACTTGCGCGAAGGGTGGAATAACAACCAACAACTTGCGTGAAGGGTGGAATAACAACCAACAACTTGTGTGAAGGGTGGAATAACAACCAACAACTTGCGTGAAGGGTGGAATAACAACCAACAACTTGTGTGAAGGGTGGAATAACAACCAACAACTTGTGTGAAGGGTGGAATAACAACAAACAACTTGTGTGAAGGGTGGAATAACAACAAACTACTTGTGTGAAGGGTGGAATAACAACAAACAACTTGTGTGAAGGGTGGAATAACAACCAACAACTTGTGTGAAGGGTGGAATAACAACAAACTACTTGTGTGAAGGGTGGAATAACAACAAACAACTTGTGTGAAGGGTGGAATAACAACAAACAACTTGTGTGAAGGGTGGAATAACAACAAACTACTTGTGTGAAGGGTGGAATAACAACCAACAACTTGTGTGAAGGGTGGAATAACAACAAACAACTTGTGTGAAGGGTGGAATAACAACCAACAACTTGTGTGAAGGGTGGAATAACAACAAACAACTTGTGTGAAGGGTGGAATAACAACAAACTACTTGTGTGAAGGGTGGAATAACAACAAACTACTTGTGTGAAGGGTGGAATAACAACAAACAACTTGTGTGAAGGGTGGAATAACAACAAACAACTTGTGTGAAGGGTGGAATAACAACAAACTACTTGTGTGAAGGGTGGAATAACAACCAACAACTTGTGTGAAGGGTGGAATAACAACAAACAACTTGTGTGAAGGGTGGAATAACAACAAACTACTTGTGTGAAGGGTGGAATAACAACAAACAACTTGTGTGAAGGGTGGAATAACAACCAACAACTTGTGTGAAGGGTGGAATAACAACAAACTACTTGTGTGAAGGGTGGAATAACAACCAACAACTTGTGTGAAGGGTGGAATAACAACAAACTACTTGTGTGAAGGGTGGAATAACAACAAACAACTTGCGTGAAGGGTGGAATAACAACCAACAACTTGTGTGAAGGGTGGAATAACAACCAACAACTTGTGTGAAGGGTGGAATAACAACCAACAACTTGCGCGAAGGGTGGAATAACAACCAACAACTTGTGAAGGGTGGAATAACAACAAACAACTTGTGTGAAGGGTGGAATAACAACAAACAACTTGTGTGAAGGGTGGAATAACAACAAACAACTTGTGTGAAGGGTGGAATAACAACCAACAACTTGTGTGAAGGGTGGAATAACAACAAACAACTTGTGTGAAGGGTGGAATAACAACCAACAACTTGTGTGAAGGGTGGAATAACAACAAACAACTTGTGTGAAGGGTGGAATAACAACCAACAACTTGTGTGAAGGGTGGAATAACAACCAACAACTTGTGTAAATGGTGGAACAACAACAAACAACTTGTGTGAAGGATGGAATAATCGTTGACCATCACCATTCCACTGTGGTTACACTGCACAAGACACCATCGGCAGTCCTCCTGTCAAGAAAGTGAAGAGGAAGTTTGTCGGTCTCCAAAAACATTTAAGAATCTGTGTCTGGACATAGTTGAAGACCGAAAAATTGGCATGGCGGTATGGCATATCAGACTCCACAAGCAATACTGAATTTTTAATTAAATACAGTCAATTATGATATGTATGTAAACCATTGCATTTAAAAAAATGCCATAAATGTCATTTTCGTTATTCGTTGAAATTGGGCGGTGGGGAGGAGTTGCTAGAGAGGATAGAGTATGTAAATATTGTTTTGATAATCTGAGTGTATCAATTGTGGAGGATGAAGTTCATTTTACTACATCATGTTACTTGTACAACAAATTCAGAAACATGCTTTTGCCAAGTATTTGCCTATATAAGGTGACAACTAACAGTGGCAAAACATGAGTCGAAATAGACGCCACATCAGAACAACAGCGAAAGACTTGGGCAACATGAATGACAAGCAAGAAATCACTTCAGAGTTAGATTACACTAAACCAGTAAGCTCTGAAACCCAAGACAGTCCAAATGAAATGCCATGGGCAATACAAAGACAGTAACGTCTAGTTCTGGTAGAACTGTCAACCTACCCAG